TTTTTAGCCTCAAAACAACATAGAAACAGCTACTTACAAGATTAATAATGACCTTAAACCAAACTAACCAACAACCAACCCCACAAAAAGAATAACTGCTTAAAAATAAGACCGTTTTGGAAAGTGAGAAGAACATTTCTCCCACGGGGAATTGGTATAAAAATATTATAGTAGTCTTCTTACTCATTGCTGGATGTGATATCTGACCCAGTGTAGAGCAGCTAATGTGTAATTTAGCTCACGGTTTAGGGGGTTCAGCTCACAGCCAGCTGACTCCATGGCAGAGCTGTCATGGCACAGGTGTAGTGGAGCAAAGCTTCCCAGTTCATAGCAGCCAGGGAGGAGAGCAGGTGATACCAGAAAGGGATGGCCAGTGTCTAGGTAAAAGCAGCCAGTGGTACCTAGGGCGCAGCCTGGATATTGCACTGTCTTAAAAGTTCCTTCACCAGATTAGTTCACCTACCACCCATGATTTCATCCTACCACAAGATTTTAGGTAATTGGCAAAATGTAGACAATATTTTTGTGGAATGTAGAACTCACGGCCTCTAGTTCAACTGCCAGTGGAGTTGTTTTTCAAGCTGAAACTTCCTGAGCTTGGCCTTTACTGTCCTGAATCTCCAAAGATTTACAAATTCTTCCTGCAAACCAGATCCAGAGGCGTCTAAGCTACATGATCGTCTAGACATAGCAGCAGCAATGGCCCCTTTTCTGGTGCCAGTTTCCTAGAGTGGTGGCTTTTCCGTGGTTAGCCACAGAAACTGACACTCACAAGCTAACGCAGGAAAGATTTATTTCATGGTTTAGGGTATCCGATCCTTTATCAACTGGCTCCAAGACATCCTGTTTTGAAGAGAATCTCTTTTTTCTTTCTTTTTAGTGACTGATATGTGTATCCTCCTCTTTCTTATTTTCTTCTTTCTTTTCCTCCTGTTTTTACCTTCATCTCTTCCTTTACCTCCTCCTTTCCTTTCTTCTTATTATCCTGGGACTGTGGTCATGATTTATCTCCCAAAATATTAAAGACATTAGTCTGCAATTTTTATTTTGTTACTTTTAGTGGCTTTGACGTTGACACTGAACATTCATTGGAAAAAGAAAATTAGCCATTTTCTTTCTTTTATTTTGTTTGGGGTAAAATTGCTTAGTTAGCTTTAGCGATACCCACTTCTTGAAGGTTTGGTAGAATGAGCCTTGAAAACATACGTGTATCTTAGAGAAGGGTGAGGAGGAATGGGTGGTGATGATGCTGTCTTGGGCAGCCTTATGATTTCCAGATATTCGGATAATTTTATTTTATGGATAGTTGTGATAACTTACCATAATAAATAATCCATTTCTCAACTTTAATTGACTTTCAATTTCCTTTTTATTTTTACTGATTTTCTCATTTTCATCTATTCTTTCATAGGCATGTATTTTTTCTTTGTTTAGACTGGCATTTTGTTGATTTCTCTGTCACTACTTCAAATCATCAGCTCTTTTATAATATAGTATTTTCTGACTATATTTTAAACTTTCTGCTTTCATTTCATCTATTTTCTTCATCTTTGTAAACTTGATCATTTTATCTATTTTTGTCTATCAAGATTACTTTTTAAAGTTTTACATTAAACTATCTTTTGTCTTTTATCTACTACAAAGGGATATGTGATAACTATACTTTAATTATCTGTATTCTTTATTCTATAGTTTCCCAAGAGCCATTTAAGAAAGAGAAATTTGAACATTTGTATCTGTTGGGTCTTTTTTTCCAGGTTCACTTATTTTATCACTTATTGAATGGTATTCAGTGAATGTTGTCTCTTTGTAAATTTTATAACTAGGCTTTTTATGTGGACTAAATGTTTATAAATAAATTACAGTTACTGGAAAATTTAATTTCTGCTTTCAGAATGTGGAGTTTGATCATTTCAATCTGCCTCCTGCTGTTAATTGAGACTCTTTGGTTTTCTTTATGGTCAAAATAAAAATTAGTATTATTCTGTTCCAATATGAGATAGGTGAGCTAAAATCCAACACTACCCAGGTATTATTTTATATTAATTTTTAACTCTGGTAATTTTTCACTAATTATCTTGAATTATAATTTTGCGGTAGTGATATTCATGATGTCATATCCTGGAGTGTTTTATTTATTTATTTATTTTTGCATTTAGTATTACACAGGTCCCAGGTTGAATTCTGTCCCCCCAAAATAGACAAGGCTGAAGTCCTAGCCCCTAGTTCCTCGGAACATGCCCTTGCTTGGAAATGACATTTTTGCAAATGTACTCAAGTGAAATGTGGTCATGAATGTGGGCTGTTACCTATTATGATGAGTGACGTTGAATGAGGGGATAATGGAGACACAGCCAAAGGTCCCGGAGAACACCATGTGGAAAACCACGACAGGGAGCTATCTGATATGCTTTTGAACCAAGAAGAGGGCAAAATCTCCAGCAAATGACAGAACCCAGGACATAAAGCATGGAGCATTTCTCCTCATAGCCTTATAAGCAACCAGTTCTGCCAATGCCTTGCTTTTTGACATCTAGAGAACAGAACTGTGAGGCGACATTTCTATTGCCTAAACCACTCACATTTTCATGCTTCCGTAGGGAAATTTAAGGAACCAGTGCAAGTTATTTGACATCATTTAATATCTTTTAATGTTATTAAAAGTAATTTGTTTTAATGATATTAAAATTGAACTATCAATTTCTATTGTCATTTACCTGGTATATCTTTAATAGTATCTTATTTATCAGACTTTAGTATGTCCTGAAGTTCACAAACGTAAGTACATTATGACAACTCATGCTTTCTCCCTTTGGAGAATAAAATGATTCTATTTGAGTTTAGCTCTTTTTGTGAAGCCCAAGACCTCACACTGTCCTCCACTCTTTTCCCAGAACTCTGGCCTGGCCTCCATGCTCTCTAGCATGTGAACTTTCCTTTGGTGCTTGCAGTACCCTGGGCTCTTGGTCTCCACAAATCTGTTCTCTGTGTCTGTAACAATGTTCCCCCAACTCGTCAATTGCTTCCTCCCTTTGGTTTTTGCATCTCAGTCCAAATCTGATCTTTTCAGAGATTTCTTCTCTGACCATTGTATCCAGCATGATCTAATTCCTCAACCATGAGAATGTGCCAACACATCATTCCTGCCCCTTCAGTTTTGATTGAATTTTTCTCATTTATTTGGTTTGATATCTATCGGCTCTGTCCCCACCAGAATTAAAGTTTTGTAAATGCAAAGGCTGAATTTTTCATGATGGATGGAGAAGATGCCTAGCATGTGGTTGACAAGTGACATATATTTTTGAAGGAATTAAGGTAATTAGTATGTAAAGGAACAAAAGAAGGATAGAAAGAAAGGAATGCAAATGCAATGTCATTCTCCTCCCACTCTTGCAGAATCACTTTCATGGGGGCCCCTTAGAATTGCAGTTAAGGTTTTTCAGTAGTAAAATAGTTATTTAATTTGACCTTTACCCTGTAGTTTCTAGTGTTCCAGCTATACAACCATTGGCCATTGCAGGTGGAAAGAACATTTTTCCCATCATTATGATAATTTTCATTAAAAAACATAAGATACTTATATTAGTAGTTTCCGTAGTTCATTGGAAAGATTTGCACTAATTTCATTTGGAGAATTTTTTGAGTCCATGTCTTGAACTTTGATTAACTACTTTAAAGATAGCAATGCTCAGTGTATTAACTATTGCTATTCTCCTGTTATTTGGCCATGAAATTTTTACTTTTCTTTCATAAAATAAAAAAAAAAAAGAAATAATTTTTACTGGATAATAATCAATAATTATGCATTTCCCCAGCTCTTCTGGTGTAACACTTCTACGGCAGGTGTTATAAACTTCCTTCTGCTTCACCGCAGACCTTTAATGTTATTCCAGATATTATCCTCACACAGTCAAAGAGAGTTTCAATATCTGACAACATCCCAACCAAGAAATCCTTCATATAGTCAGAGAGGATCACAAAATCTTTTGCCATGAATCATACCCACAGAAACTTAAGGAAAAAAAAGACACAAACCATTTAAAAGATAGAGAAAGGAAATGCACATTCTCAGGGGATTTAACATTCTCTGCAGTTTTTGATGAAAGCGATTTTATTTATATATTTCCAAGGAAAACTTTAGCAATTGAATTAAGCAATAGCAAGTAAACAAGAGCCAGTTTTACTAATTATAAGGTGCCAAGGAAAATCAGTAGTCAACATAAACTTGCTTTCACTATATCATCATCAGACGGTAACATTCCCTAAAGACTTATTTCTTGCTGTTTTAGATAAAACTGACCTAGTGATGCGGTATCAGCACGGGGTTCATTTCTGGGACCTCTGCTACTCCGGCAGAGGATCAGATACTCCCATGAGGCAGTCTCCTGTTCTCTGCAACAGTTCACAGTGTACTGGGGAAGACACGCACAGATCATTCCAACCACAGTGTTCAAAGGATCCCACAGACATGGGGCGGGGGCAGCTGCGGTCTAACACATGCCCCAGGGACCTGGAGCTTGACTGAGTTTTCATGTTTTAATTACTGAGCAAAACAATACATACTGCAGACTGGTGAAAAGGTTAGGTGTATGACGAAGACCTGAAAAAGAGGTGTTTGGAATCAAAAGAGGAGAAAATAGCTGCATGCTTCAGGCCAGATTAGGTCCTTAAATACTGAGGGGTTTTTGATGATTTATGTTCCAGACAGTCTTCTACATAACAAGAAAACAAAATGCCCACAACCTTTACCTTTAAAACAATGCTGCCCTTCTCACAGATAAACTGACAATAAATATAAAAATCTAGTGCTCAGTAATGGTATGCATTCTAGAGAAAAACCGGAAATGCTTGGGATTAGCAGCCAGAGGAAGGCGAGACAAACAACTAGGTAAGACCACCGGGGAGCCCACAATGCTCCCTTTAGTAGGAAGGACCTTTCTAGGCTCTGTCAAGCTCAGGGGTAGAACGCCTCAGCAAGCTAAGGAGCAGCGTGCACTTACCAGTACTTGTCCCACGAAGGTCTGGGCCGAAAGCATCATTTCTATTTGTTTGCGAAATACTCCATAACAATAAAGTCTTCTTAATGGGTTATAAATAAAGATATTTGATGAGAAGAGTTCCTATAAGCAAGAGAAGGGAATTGACAGAGTGAGCTGTAGCTCCGGGTGTCATGGTGTTGGCCAGAAATCACTCTGCCCTGCCTGACCCAGAGGATACGGGAAGTCTCTGCCCAATAGAGTGCAAAATGGACTTTATTGGTTTTGTATAATTTTTCTGCACAGTTTTAAATTCTGCTGGTTTTCTTGCTTATCCTCAGCCCAGACCCTTCAAACTAACTTCAGTGTAATGTTCAACACGGGAAGTAGAATGCTTCTTTTTGCTCTAGGAATGAGTGCTTTCACATTTTTCCAACAAAATACATGAGCAAATCCCAAAAAGCTAACTCAGTGGTTTTTAGGGGATTACTCCAGACTTTTTAAAAGGAAGTGTTAAGGAAAGTTTCAACAATTTTGAATTGGTTGGTTTTACTTCCTTGTCTGGTATCACAGTCTCCTGAATTTATAATCTTCTGTCATACGTGTAGAACGGCTTTACCTGTTGCATGTGAAATTTATAGTAATCCTATGTGCAGGCAGAGTAGGTGTGATTAAATCAGTTCTATCTTGAGAAAGAGATCAAGAATAGAGAAATTAAGTGCCTTGTCCAAGATCAAAAAAGGAGGGAAGACAGGAGTCTGAGAGAGCATCCATCTGTCTTAGTAAGGTCCAGAACCTTCAGGGAGACAGATGCTGATGCAGGGTTGTCACACCGAGTCCTTGGGGAGATTCGTTCTCTCCCTCCCTCCCTCCCTGTCTCTTTTCTTCCCCTCTCTGTCATTCTCTCTTTCTCTCCCTCCCTTCCTCCTTCCATTTCTCTTTCTGTCCATTTCTCCCTCTCTCTCTCTTTCGTTCATGGTACCAGAGATCAAACCCAGGGGCTCTCTACCCAACTGCATCCCCAGCTCTGCTTATTTTTTAGTTCAAAACAAGGTCTCAGGAAGTTGCCCAGGTTAGCCTCAAACTTGGGATCCCCTTCCCTCTGCCTCCTGAGCAGCTGGAACTGCGGGGGCCGTGGGCTACCTAATCAGTTTCACTCAGACTTAATTTTTATGCTGTTATTTACTGAGTGGTAGGAAAAAAAGTCTTGCTAGAAGACTTTTTAGGAATTCATATTCTGATTAATGATCTTGTTTCTCCTACACATGACTCAGCATGAGCATTTCTGAGAGGTTTAAGAATAATTTAAAAAAAAAAACATTTAGCATGACATTAGTATGGGGCACTCATTTGAATTTCATGTTATAATTAGAGGTAACGTCTGTGCAAAAACAAACTGGCTCCAAGAAATAAGAAAATCTTACTTGTGGTTGTAGAATTCTTTAAAATGCATTTATAGAGAAATGATAGCTCTCCAAATAATTTTCAAAAGGCATTTTCATAATATCTGACTTTATGACAATTTTGGGTTTGGTCAACTTTTCCAGAGGCTTAGAGAGAAGTATAACACTCTCAATTCATTTAAATATTGCTAATTATTGAGAAGTCACTCAGCATGCATCACACTCCTCAGTATCCCAAGAGCAGAACTGTATAGTTGCTGGACGCTCTGACCCCACGTCTTAACATTTTATGCTCACTTAATACTTGAAATCAGAAGGCACCTCTACACTGAAATACAGACACAAATTACAGTCAAAGGAAATGTGAGTTGACAAACACACTCTCATAGTTTTGTAACCACGTAAAATACCTACAATGGGGAAAGAAAAACATTTCCTGGAGCAGAAGAATTTCTATAAATTCCAGCATACATTTGCAAATAAAAGGAGGTGAAAACCCAGAGTGAGATTTATCATACTTCCTCATTCTTAAGTGTCTTTGAATTATTTTCCTGAAATTTATGATGTTTCCTAAAATCTTTAATGCAGAAATAATCATTAATAGTCTGAATTCAGAAACAAACCCATGAGCTTCAAAATGGGGTACTTTTTTAAAGTCAAAAATAAATTGCTTTTAATCAACCACCTTAAAAATGTACCAAGTTGTTATAAATTATGTTACTTATGTCACTCATTTATGTGAAGAGAAACGTTTTAAGAAAATTTTCCATATTCATGATGATGCCAGGTAAAACATGTTCTATAATGGAAATTACTGTCATCTATTTGAATGAAAAAAACCCCAAAATTACTAAACAACAATGGGAACCTTTACACAAGGCTTGATAAAACCCTTTACCTTTGATCTCTGCTAGTAGTCATTAGGTAGTGTCTGAGACATTTATTTCTAGCTCTTAAGTGGTGCCTCATCTGGGGCAGCTATCATTTATTCTCTTCATTACAGTTATTATTCACCATCAGCAACCCTTGCAGACTGGTTTGGGAATAAAGAGAGCAGCTGGCACAGGTATGCTGTGCCTGTGTAGGAAGAAACCACTTCTTTTCCTCTCTTTATAGTAGCCCCTCTGACTGTTTTCATAAGGGTAAACATGGCAGCCACCATGTCTATGAGCATGTCTTTTTTCAATGTCCTCAGCTTCTAGCCTGACCTTCATTACCTTCCCTGGACACTGACCCTCCAGTCGTGGGAAGCACTGCCTCATACCTGGCCACTTTAGGATGGCAGCCCACCCATTCACGAACACCAGACGAAGCCTGAGAAACCCAGGGAAGTCTGGGTTAAACACAGGCATACGCCAGAACCATCTCTGCTTCTCCCATGAGTGGTCCCAAATAAAGCAACTGACCAGGACGATTCCTGTTCTCTGCATGCGTTCCCTGTGTTTGATGATTCTCCTGATTAATCTGAAGAGGGATAAGATGGCAAGTCCACCAAAGAAGGTCACGAAGGACGACAGAAGAAATGCTGCCTGAATTTCAATCCTACAGCCCATTTCCCCCAGTTCTGTCCCACTTTCCTCTTGTGGCTTAGCTCAAAACATCGGGAGACAGAATGGGGAGGCGATTCTATGATGTCATGGCGGCATGGTAACAGTTCCGGGATGCCACGTTTCTAGTGCCGCGGTGATAATCTGGAAACACTAAATGCTCACGAGTTGCACATTCATCAGCAACTGGAGATGGGTGGAACCCAGAGCCCAGATGGTCCAGAGAGAATTCTAGATCCAGTGATTGCTGACTTTCCCCGTGATCTCAGAGAAATCACATTCACTGAGGCTGTGGCCATCAGGCTGCCTAATTGGTTTGTTCAGTCAAACAACTTCAAGACAGCTTTTGGGATGCATTGATATCAAATCGATTTGTACGGGACTGGGTGGATTCTGGATCCCAGAGGGCAGTGTAGCCTCAGGTGGATGGAAGAGAAACACTGCAAGGTTTTTTATTTATCAAAATAAAGTTATCTAAACAAAGTGGCAGATATATGGGAAAATTAATCTAAATATCTAGTATATGACACGAAACCTAGTTAGTTGTATAGTACATTCGAGGTGCACTAGCCACACTCACACACAAACATACACACACACACACACACACACACACACACACACACACACACACACATGCACGGGCACAGGCACAGGTAACTCTGAGGTAACAGGTATGCTAATTTGTTTGACTACAGTAAGCACTTCATTATTTCTGAATACATCAGATCATTAAGCTGTTTTCTTTTTTTTTTTTTTTTTTTAGATAAGAATACCTTAAAATAGAAAAAAAAATACTTTTGCTTCCCTTGAAATAAGAAAGGCATCTCATAGAATGCAGTGATGGCACAGGCAGCTTCGCGGGTGTGATCACAGCCTGGCTGCCACTGTGCCCATAGACCTGCTTTCTTCATCCCTTCTGGCTGGGACTCGTTTTTCTGCACCTTTATTCCTGCCCTGTCCCTAAGTCCGTTGGACCAACAGAGGCAGATGTCAGCCTGAGGGACAGTCACTCACTCTGGCGTTCTCTAACATAGGCGCAATGTCATGTCTTATAGCGCCTGTGGGTGGCGGGTGATAGTTTACAAGCCAGTGGAGGACAAGGCTTACCTGTGTACTTCAGAAATGGTCCAACAGGAGGGGACAAGGCCTGGGAAATCACGTGGCTCTTGGGAGCCTGATGAGCTCCGCTCCGTGTGGCTGGAAGACTGTGTAAGTGTCATTCAGAACTGCTGCCGCATTACGCTTTCTTTCCTGAGGCTTGTCTCTCCCATCTGCAGAACGCTGCTCGTACTTGGAAAATCACATGAACTTGAGTAGTTCCTGAATGTGTGAATAAATTAACACAAGCCAGCCACACTTCTCGTTTCCCACGTCTCTTTGCTTTTATTTTGAGACAGGGTTCTGTTACATATTTCATGTACTTCATGCTGGCCTTGAGCTCAGTGTAGGCCAGGTTGGCTTCAGCGAACTCAGGGTGATCCTCCTGCCTCAGCTTCTCAGATGCTGGGATTGCAGGTGTGTGATGCCACATCAAACTACTATATTTCTCATTTCTTGCTGCAAATTGTTTTTCTGAATGTGGTACCATCCACTGTGTATGTGTGCACAGTTCATTTTGTCTGTGTGTTTGTGTGACTGTGTCACTCTTCATGAGGTATGCAGTATTTGGAGAAGAAAAATCAGATCTTTATTTTTAAATGTTTATGTTATAGCACCATGAATATGTATTTGTGTGTGTGTTTATACTCTTTTGAAAGCAATAAATTGTATTACAATGTTGCCTTTTTAAGGACATAAATCTACACATTTAATATTACAACCCTTCCTTCTTGTACTCCTAAAAACCAAGGCTTATTTCCTATCTTTAAAGATGATGTACACCATTGTCTAAAAACTAGTCTAGAAATACTCACCACTCAACAATAGAATAAGTGGAAAATCAGGGCTGAGGGCAGTTGTGATTCCCCAGAAGAGGGACTCTCAATGCCCAGCAATCTCCTGTCTCTGGGGCTGGAAAGCATCCATCCCTTTGGAAATGCTACTTACAGATGAAAGCCTCAGTTTCCCAAGATTGTGTGTGGAACTATTTTACTTAGTAAGGCTTTACCTTATGGCTTCTTACATTTTTTTTTTTTTTGCTCCAATTAACCTCATATTTTCTTCAACATGACAACAGTATCGTCATTACTTCTGGAGAGAGCTTACTTTTGAGGGAATATGATCGATGTGTGAATATTTAAGTCTAAGACCTATTTGAAAAGCCACTGTGCTGTGTCCTAAGCTGTTCACTAGGGGGCCATTCTATCTGGACAGGCCATGAGCAAATGCAGGAATTTTAATCCAGTAGCTGGATGTCCACAGTAGTGCATCTGTCACAGCAGATTTGTTTTTAGAAGTGAGTAGCTCTGACATCATACACTTAATAATTATATTTAAAATCCATACTTTTTGGTAAAATTTGTTGGCATGCTTTTGAAGGGTTGGCTCTTTGGACAAGTTTCTTATGCTCCATAAGTGAACTGAGGACGCTAGATTGGTGTTTTTGATATTCCAGGTTGGCCCATGCCAGGAACTTTTTATAGTTCTGGTGGTGTCTTTAATAAACAGTAAACATTATATTTCAGTGTCTGATCTCATTCCCCAAATAGTTTCTATTAAAAATGAACCAGTAAGGAAGAAGCATCATTTCTGAGTGACTTTTTGAATTGAAGAAGTGTCAATAAATAAGCTTGGAATGTAGTTATATTTCTTTTGGGTCATTTTTTCGTCTAGAACTGTCACAGGAGGAACATGGCTACCTGAGCCCCTGTCTCTGAATCCAGAGCCTCTTTCTCAATATGGTCTGATCAGAAATATGATAACTAGCTTGTCAGAGAAATTATTCTTTCTTCTCTATTAATACATGATACATACATAGATTGATAGAATTTTCTTCTGGTTTTCACTCATGAATTTTGTCACTAATTTGCATTTTGCAGTAATGCAGAATTTTCCTCATTCTGGGTGTTTCTGAATTGCGTTTGTGTCTCTGGGGGTGTCAAGGGCATGGGAATACTTGGGTGATTCGCTTAGTTCAAAGGGAAGAACCTCCTAAAGTCCTTCAATGTTTTGACTTGGTCTTAGCCTGAAATGTTTGGAGAACTGTCTGTCTTCAAAACTGGTGAGCAAAGTCATGAATTTCCTCTCATGGGCCAGCAGGTGGCGCTGTTTCACAGGGAATTAGGTGATGAACAAGCGGTTTTGTTTTGTTTTTGTTTTTTGTCTTTTGTTTTTGTTGTTGTTTTAAAAATAAGATGGAGGAACACACTTGGGGAGAGGACATGAAAGCAGAAAGTAAGAAACGGGGAGAGGGCGTCCGGTCCTCTAGTAAGACCCAGGGCTTTTGAACTCCTGCGGCCTCACACCAGACCTGCGTTCTGTTCAGGCGCTTACTGTTAATCTTCAGAGAATCTATTTTTTTTTGAAAGAATGGAGGGATAAATTAAACTGTTGATAACCATGGGGGTTTAAAAAGGATGATCTCTATGGCTCTGTGAGAGTCAGACAAACCTTTTCACGACCCTGAGTAATGCAATCAGTTTCTTTAGCAATCAGTTTCTTTAGCAATCAGCCCAGCTGAGGACCCAGCTGGTGATTTTTATCTGAAGGCTTCCAGTGGTCAGCAGCAGGAGGGGGCAAGGGCCACCGCCGTGGGCCTTCTCTACTGGCAGCGCCCACAGCAGTGCTGGCCTGGCCGCGGGTGGTGACTGCCAAGTCACCCACAGGCCGCTCTCTCACTGCTCCTGCTTGGAACTGCTGGTCTACCATCAAAAGGCTGCCGAGAATCGCGGCATCGTCCCAGGGGCTGGCTGCATTATTCCCACGCGTGCTATGAGTATCTGCTTCCAAAATCCTAATTACCATGAACCGTGCATGTGTTTGAGTCCCAACGCGAAGCTTAGGTGAAAAACAGTTGTCACCCCCAGCATAGGAGATGAAAGCCTTGTTTTCAGGATCAGCTGCTGTGGAGCTGGCATGCTCACTCGCTAGGCCTCCCCAGGCCCTGTCTCCTGGCGGGCTTTGCAGATGAAAGAGCTGTCCTTTAGCTCCGTCTTTGGTTTGGGGACAGCATGGTAGTTTGCTAGTTACCTCGTGAGAGAAAAACCACAGAGATACTTTCCAAAAATAAAATTTATTCTAATCTACACACTTTAAAGAAAGAGGGACTTTCCAAAAATAAAATTTATTCTAATCTACCTGCTTTAAAGAAAACCAGCTGATGCAAGCTGCATGCACCAGGCAGAGGAAGTGACCTTGGAATGGTTAACATCTAAACCAGGCTCTGTCCCCTTTTTCATCAAGGGTAATCCTCCCTGAACGCTTTCAATGTTTCTTTCTCCATCTGTGTTGTAATTTTAAATGCATTTGTATACAAACTATCTTTATATACAATGTATGTAACTTAGGGCTATTTGTATAATATATTTATTTTATTTTTCAGCATAACCTTGAAGGATTTTGAAATACAATGTGAAAAGCTGCATACATTAGTATGACACAAAAATTATTGAGCATTAAATCTACTCAGCTCCTAGTTCTATGAATTCCTTTTATATAGGAGGAAACTAAGAACCAGGCAGGAGAATTTGGTCTTCAATCTGTGAAAGCAGGCTGGAGGCACCCCCAACCCATTCAAATGCGTAGGATTTGGACGGGAAAACAGGCGAATAGTCATCAGGACGAACAGTAAGCATATTTTCTGAAATCTTTGTGTCTCCCAAATGTTTAAAAACATCTTCTAATCTCTCTTCTAAGTAACATTAAGCCGATGGAGTTGGGAGAGTTCTACACTGGAGAAAAAGGATCGGATCCTATCTGCTCAGGAGAGGGGGAGTGAAAGGCGAAGGCGTAGCAATGTGGTGCAAGATGCTATTTGCTTTCAAGAAAGCCAAAACGGTTATCTCTGTGGAAGTAAGCCCTTCCTTCGGTCACTGGTACTGTCTTGTAATCAGTAGTGGTCAGCA